ACGGGGCACGCGCGCGGGTGGGCAGAGCAGGGGACGGAGCGAGGTGGGTGGGACCCGACGCCCAGCGGCGAGCTCGGGAGCCGTCCGAGCCGAGAGGGTGGGTGGCCCGTGGCACGCACTCGCGGGTGAATTAAAACCCTCAGGGCCTTTCCCAGCCCCTGGAGCCCAAAACACCCCAAATCTGCCCCTTCCTCGGGCCCAGCAGAACGTTAAAGCCCGCCGCAGCTGCGGCTCTGCTCGTGTAGAGGTAACCAAGCTCGCTCCTGGGACGCTTTGCCGGGGGACCATTTCTCCCGCCTCTGCGATGGCCTTCCCGGGTGTGCGTCCCGGGGGGAATGCAGGCAGGGACGGGGCTTGGAGAGAACAGGACCCAGCGAAGTGGGCTCCCAGCGACACCGGGACCCAGATAGTTAAGACCTGCCCAAGCACAGCTGAGCGTTCCCTTCTGACATCAAATATTTCGCTCTTACACAATTCTTCAGATTTATACTTCTTTGCTTTTTATTTAAACATTGATAAAGTGGTCTAATTCAAATAAGCCACCTTTTCAGGTGAAGATAAATCCATTACTTTTTGTTTACAGTGAGCTAAATTAAGCAATGGAGGATCCTTTAAATGCATATACAGTGTAGGTATTGAGGGATGTTATGTAAAACTTGCTAAAATTATTGTGCGTTTGCTTCTACTCTTAGGAAAACGTACCTCAAAACTGTAGTAGTACTTTGCATTTCTAGAATTTAAACTTAGGTAAAGATAAAAAATAGAGACCACAAACGATTTTTATCACTTCTAGAGCTCCTGCTTTGCACTGGGCACCATGCTAGGACTATCATAGTTAATTCTTTAAAATTGGAGTGTCCCATTAGAAGACCCCCCAACTTAGGCTTCTTTATCTCCACCTCCTTCTTGGGTGATCTATCTAGTCTGTGGCAGTACATGCCCTCTGTAGATAGACTGCACACTTGACATCTCCAGCTGGATTTCTAACTCCCCGAGGCTGCTGCTCCCCAAGGCTGAACTGGAGGGAAGAAGAAATGTTGCTTCAAAGTAAGGTATTGCCAGAGGGACTAAGTTAGGGGATATAGATGAAACAAGATTGGTCATAAATTGGTAATCATTGAAGATGGTTGATGGGTACATTAGCTTTCATCATACTATTCTTTCCATTTTTATTAAGTTTGAAAATTTATATTTAAAAAGCTTAATTAAAAAATAATTTAATTTCCTGTATCTAGAATTTGACCTCTTCTTGCTGTCTCTATTGCTACCACCATGGCCTGCTGGATTATTTCAGAGGCCTCCTATCTAGCCTCCGTTTTCACCCTTGTCTCACTGGCCTCCATGCCTTAATAGTTCAACATGCCGGGCACTCTAACAAGACATTTGCATGAGCTGCTCCATCTACCTGGAATGCTTTCCCTGGAATAGCTGCCTAGCTTCCTCCTTTATCTCCTTCATTTCTATATTCAGGTATCTCGTTGCCTATGAAGACTTTCCTGGTCATTCTATTTAAACTTGTAACACCCTGCCCATGGTGCACACCTTCTCCCCTTTCTTAACTTTGTTCCTGAGCATTCAATCTATTTCACTTCCCTTGTCTACTATCATCTGTCTCACTGGAAGGCAAAGGTTTCGGTTGGCTTCCTTCACTGATACACTCTCAGCATGGTACACAGCACTGATACCCCTAGTACATAGCAGGTGTTCAGTAAATATTTGTTGAATGATCAATCTCCATTTTACAAAGTAAAATAAAGCAAGCCTTAGGAATTTCTAAATTGTTCAATATTATAAGGTGGGATTAGCCTTTTAAGTTTTGATGCCACACACACACACAAATAAATTTTAAAAAGTAAAGACAAAAAATAAATGTTGATGCTACTACCTCCATAGCGCCAAGTACAATGTCATGTGCCCAGTGAGTCTCCCAGTAAATATACATGTAAGCAATTTGAGGGAGAAATTCATGTGCTATAAACCTAGTTACATTAGCAGATGCTTTCATTCTTTTTGTATTTGTGTCCATGAAGGTAATCAACAGGTTTAGTAAAAGTACCTTTTCTGTGCCCTATCTTTTGGGTGGATTGAATACCCTGTAAGGTAACTTCTGAGTCTCTCCATGGCAGTAGCAGTGGCATTTAGATAATTGTTCTGAAAAGACTGATATGGGTGGTCATTGCTGCTGTTCTGTGTTGTGCTTTTGGGGAATCTATACTTTTGGTAATATTTTTTCTCTGAGAAATCAGTTTTTAAAATCTAGTATCAAATATTAATATTTCAAAGTGGCAGAAGCAATGCCCCTAAACTGACTTTCCTGGCTTAAGAAAGAAAGGGGCTCTTCATTCCCTGTGTTTAACAGACTGCTTCTTGGAGCCATTCATTCCAAAGCAGATTTGAGTTAATGAAAATGAAGAGTATCATTTTTTTGTTTGCTCAAACTTAAATATTTAGATTTAGGTGTTTGAGGAAAGGACTCTACTTGGAAAGTGGTAGCATCCTGTCTTGTTAAAATGTAGTCCTGTTTTTGTTTTTTTAGATTTTGTTGTTTACAGAGCTCATACATATGTTAGACTTATAAATGTTTTCATTCAGAGCTAAGATTTAAATTTTTGATTGCCCTTAAAATTGTATAGAATGATGACTATGCCCCTGGCTAACATAACTGTTATATATGTTTAAAATACACATACTTATGTTATTTAATATATCATAATAGACATGATCCTATCGGTTTCCTACATGTGATCATTTGCTGCTGAGTAAATAAAATCAGCATTGAAATAATAAAAAACTAAGCATAAGTGATATCTAATCTTGGCCACAGGTATAGAAATCACAAATGTCTTCAAAGGATGGGAGATCCAGGAATCGAGACAGGCACTACAACGAGGTCCCCAGGGACTTGGCCCATGAAGATGGCACCATAAGAACCCTCCAGACTCTCCGTGACAGTGAGCTGGCTGTGAGCGCTGATCCTTTGCCTCCACCCCCTCTCCCATTACAGCCACCATTTGGCCCTGACTTCTACTCAAGTGACACAGAGGAACCGGCCATAGCACCAGACCTCAAACCCGTAAGGCGCTTCGTCCCTGAGTCCTGGAAGCACTTCTTCAGAGGGAAGAAGAAGGACCCAGAATGGGATAAGCCGGTGTCAGACATCAGATACATCTCAGACGGAGTGGAGTGTTCGCCTCCATCCTCTCCAGGGAGACAAAACCACCACTCACCCCCCGACTCCCACAAAGATCCTTACGGAGGGTCAGAAGGAACCTTTAATTCCCGGAAAGAGGCTGAAGCGATGCTTCCCCAGGATCCCTACGGGTCTCTGGGCCGACACACACAAACGGCTCTAACGTACAGTGAGAAGGTGGAGGCCTACAACCTGAGGTACTCCTACATGAAGTCGTGGCCCGGCCTGCTGAGAATCCTCGGGGTGGTGGAGCTGCTGCTGGGGGCGGGCGTCTTCGCCTGTGTCACAGCTTACATTCACGCTTCTGTCACCACCATTATTATTCTGGTTCTTGGCATGTCCATGTATTATCGGACCATTCTTTTGGACTCTAACTGGTGGCCCCTGACCGAGTTTGGAATTAACATTGCCTTGTTTATTTTGTATATGGCTGCAGCCATAGTCTATGTGAATGATATCAACCGAGGTGGACTCTGCTACTACCCAGTATTTAATACACCAATGAATGCAATGTTCTGTCGGGTAGAAGGAGGACAGACAGCAGCGATGGTCTTCCTGTTTGTCACCATGATTCTTTATCTCATCAGTGCTTTGGTTTGCCTCAAGTTATGGAGGCATGAGGCAGCTCGGAGACATAGGGAATACATGGAACAACAGGAGGTAAGGAATTTCACAATCTTTCGTTTGTTTTTTGTGGGGTTTTTTCTGTTATTTACTCCCTTGTTAAAAATGTATAGTTCTCAAAACAAGGATTTTATAGAAGCCTTTTTTTTTTTTTAATGATCTGAAGTTGAAAAGCTCCGTATCTGACACGGTAGGACTGGAATAGCCCACTCAGCAGTGTCACTGTTGTGTGGCATTGCAAGTAGACACCAGATGTGTAACATAATACAGAGCTTGTTGGCTGCATTATTGTGTCTCTCTGATGCTTAAGGAAAACATAGATACTGAATTCTTGCAAAGAAGAATGACAGCATGCTCAGTAAATAAAATGTCTCATTATTAAAGTAAGTTAGAGAACAGTCTTGATTCTTCAGTATGGTAAGACAATAAAAAAATTATAATTTTTGTTAGAGGGGCAAAGTGCTCATTTAAATCTGTGACCATGAGTCCCAGTTTCTTCCAGTGAGTTGAAGTCAAGTAAGAATATGGTGAACCACATATGCTTCGTTAAGTATCAAGAAGCTAAGTTGTAATAAACATACTCTGAAAACTTACCCAGGTGTTTTGATGTTTCATCTTTATTTTAGGGAGATGAGTATTCCAAAATTAGAGTGGGATTTCATTCCTAGGATTTAACTATTTAAATATATGGAAGAGAAGGAGGAGAATTAATAATACCTACAGAATAATATTGTATCAAAGCCTTATTTATAAACATACTCTGAAAACTTACCCAGGTGTTTTGCTGTTTCATCCTTATTTTAGGGAGATGAGTGTTCCAAAATTAGAGTGGGATCCATGTACTTGATTTCATTTCTAGGATCTAACTATTTAAATATATGGAAGAGAAGGAGGAGGAGAATTAATACCTACAGAATAAGATTGTATCAAAGCCTTATTTGAAATAATTTTATTTTGTTATGAGTATGTTCTACTAGCTTCAATATACCCTGAAATAAGCTAATGTCTTGCTTCCATCTTTTTTGTTTTGTTTTGTTTTCGTTCATTTGCTTATAATAAATAATAATAAAAGAATAAACTGTTTCAAGTACTCACAACTGTACGCTTACTTTTGGCCACTCCTGTATATTGGGCAAAACTATAAATAAGGTAAAGTCTTGTCCTTAGTTACTGGAGGAGCTATTTGTTTACCCATTGACTTATTGGTTTGTTTTTATTCTTTTGCATGAATCTTATGCATAACAACTACAAAAAACTTGACTAAGTTTATATCAAGGACCTTCTTCTTTTGTTTCAATTGGTAAAATTTTTATATGGAAAAAATATATCCAGTACCTTATGTAATATGGAGAACCTCAGCATGTCTCAATGTGATCCACACTCTTTTGTCACAAAATATATTAATCTTACTAGAACTTGACCTAGATTTAAGTTTTTTTCTAAAAGCTTATTTGGGCATTGTTAAGCATATTTCTTAAATTTACATCTGTGGATACAAAGTAAAGAACTTGTATACAAAGCAAAGAATTTCAATCAGTTTGAAATCTGGATAGTGAAACATACATCCTCATAATTTTAGGGAAATTTAATAACAACAGAGTTCTTAATGTCATTTCAAAATTCTACATTAATAGTATCTGTAATTATCAACATAATTCTTTCATTTTCTGATAAAAACTTGTTTCTATCAGACTTTTCATAATGGCTGATTGGACTTGAATCACCTCTGATGTTACTGTAACTTCCTAAAAGGTAGAGAGATGTAATGGCCTGTGGCTTTTTTCTGTTAACTTTATAATGTAACTGTCTCAAACTCTTTAATTGTGCAAGATAATGGGAGCCAAGAATAAAGAAAATCTCTAGGTGATTCAAAGCAACTTACCTAAGTCTCTACCATCTCCGAATTTCCAACTCTGCTCTTTGTCCCTGATTGACAGGGAATCACCCTTACCCCATCTCCTCTGGTTCTCCACTGGCCCATCAACACGTGGCCAAAAGTAGGAGGAGCATCTGAAAAGTAGAGAACCAACCTCTGTAAAATTGAGATTGGGCTAAATGCAAATGGATGAAAATATTTGCAAAGTAACTTCACATGCCTTTGAAAAATCATGTTAACTCTTTTTGTTGCAGATAAGTGAGCCATCATTTCCATCGAAAAGAAAAATGGTAAGAAAAAAGTTCACATTGTATTTTACCGCTATAGATTTGTTAAATACTTTTCTCTCTTGTCTATAAATCTACAGAGTAGATCCTCTTTCTCTGAAGGTGTATCCATTACACTGAGTTCATAAGAGGACTTTCAGGTTTTTTCTAATACGTAAAGGACCAAGTTAGATAAGGCTATTAATAACTTCTTTTACTTTTGTTAGATGAATAATTATGCAAGTGAACTGTTGGTCCTTGTATGTTTAAATTTTAATCTTTTAAAATAAAGGTAATTCTCCCAAGCCTTCTTCAGTCTCTTTAAAGTTCTTTCAGATGCCAAATTTTGTTGAGTCAGGGAAGAAATTTCTATTCCACCATTTACTAATTCTGTGTTGGTAAGCAAGTATTGAAACCTCTAATGCTTTAGTTTCTTCATCTATAAAATTGGAATAATAATAATTTCTACCTCGCATGATTGCTGAGATGATTAAATGAGATTCTATTATGATTATTTACATATATGTAATAATTTAATATATTTTAATCATAATTTGACCACATTGAAAAGTTCTTTTTTAAGATAGTGGGTATTACTTCTAAGCAAAAAATTGAGAATCCAATTTATCGATTTGTTTCTTTCTTTGAAAAGGGAGTATATTCACTTGGTCCAAAATTCAAAAGAAGCTCTAATACGAAGTCTTCTCTCCTATATTTGGCTTTCTAGTTCTCCTGCTTGGAGACAGCCAGTGTTATTAGTGTCTTGTGTTTCCTTTCAGAAAAGTGTTATGTATACATTCGCTCTCCTCCCCCTTTTACACAAATGGTAGCATACCATCTACACTGTTATGTTCCTAACTTTTTCTGCTTAACAATACATTTCTTTTTTAAAATGTTTTTTATTGATTTATTGTTAAAGAGAGAGAATAAGTGAGAGAGAAAAGCATTGGATTTGTTTTCCACCTAGTTATCTATTTATTGGTTGCTTCCTTTACTGTTTGTGCCCTGACTGGGGATCAAATCTGCAACCTTGGCATATCAGGATGATGTTCTAACCAACTGAGCTACCAGGACAAACAATACATTTCTAAGATGTTTCCTTATTAGTACATAAAGAACTTCCCATTCTCTTTTTATAATGCAGTGTGATGCAGAGAAAATGAACTTTGGAATCAGGCAAATCTGAATTGGAATATAAGACCAGCTACTTAATAGCTCTGTGACCCTGGGGAAATTACTTACCATCTCTGAATTCAGTTTTCTGTCACTTGTTTGGAATTATCTACTAGGCTATTCCTTTTTTGGTATTTTATTTTATTTTTTTAGAGGTTTTTTATTATTATTATTGATTTTTTAGAGACAGAAGGGAGATGGAGAGAGAGAAACATCAATGTGAGGGTGAAACATTCATTAGCTGCCTCCTGCACACCACTCCCTCTACCGGGGATTGAGCCCGCAGCCAGGGCATGTGCTCTGATCAGAAATTGAACTGGCAACCTTTGGGTGCATGGAAGGATGCCCAACCAACTGAGCCACACCAGCCAGGTATTTTAACAGCTACAATTTATAAAAAGCAAATAAGAAAATTAAAAAAATAATAATATATAGACATACACTAAGACCAAATAGAGACAGAAACTAATTCTAATAAATCCCTAAATGCTGAGCAGATTTTCTTTCCCACGCTAGAAAAGCCAAAATCTAATCTGGGCATCGAAAGTAATGGTGTGGGTTTGGGATCAGGGGCCTATGCTTCATTACATTATACTCTAGGAGGGAGAGAAAATTGGGAATTGGGCAGATGGACACTGGAACACTTATCTTGCTTGCCCTATTTCTAACCTAACAGAATATTCATTCAGACCCCTTTTTTTCCTTCAGCCCGTTTTTAATTTGAGAGGCTTAGTAGTTATATCCAAAGCATTACTTATCCCGTTGCTTAATTACCTTCTCTTGCCTCACAATAAAGCTTTTCTGAAATTTGCTGACAAGACTAGTTTTTGTGAAAAGCAAAGAGAGGCCCTATGTGGGGGCTTGTGTTCGTAATCAGAACACTGCTTGAGCGTGGTCTGGCCCAGGGCTGGAGCCAGTGCATCCGTCCTGTGAAAGCTTAAAGTGGTTTTGATTCTTTGTCTCAGGTCCAGTTCCAGACCTTTCTCCCCAACAGGGTTTTCTGAACGGATGATTAATGAGGTTCACCCTAAAAGAGTGGAAGACAATGTTAGGAGCATAAAAACAGAAACACATTGAAGCAGACGAAATAGTCTTTGTGGAAGTGTTCTGGCTTCTTAAAACTCCCTCTTTATATTAAAAGGTAAATGTTGGAAATAGGGATAGTAAGGAAAATGAGTAGTTCCTGCTTGAAAAAACTTTACCCAGGAAAAAGCCAAACCTCCCATGGACTGTCCTGCCTGATGTGAGGGCCTGCTCAGAGGTGGTCTGGTTCCCCTTCACCTAGTACCTGGGCTGCAGACTTCTCCTTTTCTTTTCTTTCTTTTTTAAAAAAAATATATTTTATTGATTTTTTACAGAGAGGAAGGGAGAGGGAGAGTTAGAAACATCGATGAGAGAGAAACATTGATCATCTGCCTCCTGAACACCTCCTACTGGGGACGTGCCCAAGGTACATGCCCTTGACCAGAATCAAACCTGGGACCCTTCAGTCTGCAGGCCGATGCTGTATCCACTGAGCCAAACCAGTCAGGGCCAGACTTCTCCTTTTCATAACCCTCCCCTGGTTAGCAGTCTCGGAGTCTGATCCTCTAATCTGGCTGCGAGGTTTGGTGAGTTAGGAGCTAGTGGTTTTTACAATGAGCTAATGTTAGACCAAACCTCAAAGGCAGCCTTAGAGATAGAAAATCAAGAAACAAAGGATTTTAAAAGCTGCCTGGCATGGTTTTAAAATCTCATTTGATATTTGTTTTCAGTGAAGTAGGGGTTCTCCCAAGCTACTCTCAGTTTAGTTTAATTTAACAAGCATGAGCCAGGGGTCCATGGGGGCAGAGGAGGGGAGCTGACCGACCTGAGGAGGAATCAGTGTGCCCAGCTCAAGTTCATTCCTCCAGCAGGATGGCATTGCCCGCCCCACCCTGCTCAAACTCCTTTCTGGCATGCTACCAGAACTTCAGGGAACTTAGCAATTCAACAATATACAATTAAGTAGACCATTTCCTTGTATTACTCATTTGAAGTATCAGTGAGCCAAAAAGTTCTGGGTTTTAATTGTGGCCTTTGCACGCCACAGCTGTGGGACCTTGGAGAATATACTAAACCTCTCTGAACATGGCTCCTATGTGGAAACCCCTTTCCTGGCATCCACCCACCTGACCAATTTGTTCGGTGTTCTGGGTACTGCTTAGTGAGGTCTTGAACACTCTTTTCCCAGCCCCAAAGCTGCGTATCCATCTTAGCCGGCCTGGTCTAGGGCAGATTCACGGGCCTTCCATTCCCTCTGCCCTTCTTTTGGCTATTTTAGCTCGTAAGGCTTGTCCCCCATATTTCCTCCCTGGGCCACTTCATCTTATGTTCTTTTCCTGTCTTTTGAATATACCATTTTTTACTAAAAAGGCCTCTGGAGCTCTCCCGGGTAGAAACCAGGGTGACTTAAACCACCACCTCCAGGATCCTTACGGTCTCTCAGGGAATCGCAGGTTAGGGACACGTGGGCAAGTTAAAGGCATCCAGCACCTCCCCTCTGGATTCGTTGCTTTCCTTTTCGATAATGAAAACAATGCACCATGCATCCCTCTCTGGCCTACTCAGTGGCTACTTGTAATTCATTCATCTCAGGTTCTGGTGTCATTCTTTCTAATTCCACTTAAGAAGACTTGTTCCATTTTTGTTCCCTGAATTTCTTATTTTGGACTACATTTTTTATTCTTTTACAATTGGTTGGGGGTATAAATCCTAAATAAATAAAGTACTTAAGACGCCCACACCCACCATGTCATCGTCCACCTTTGACATACACATGATTGGGGTTGGAGGGTGTTGTGCCTATTACGAGCTCTCCCATATCTCAATGTGTCCCTTTAGCTGTTACAGAAACAGAACAACTTTGTGATTATAAAACATGTAATTCTAAAGGGACGTGTTAATTGTTATTTCTGCTTTTATTCTTTTTGCCCCTCCCTCCATTTTCTTCTAAGGATAAACTCCGCTGTTTTTTTTCTCCTTCTGTCTCTGTTTATAAACAAATCTTTTTCTCCCTCACTATAGTGTGAAATGGCCATCGGCGGTGACAGACAGAGAGACCAAGAAGTTCATTTCAAAGAATTGAGACCAACAAATATGAAACCTGAAATACTGAGTGCACATGTCCCCTCGGGCCACATTCCCAAACCTATCATGTTGCCTGACTATGTGGCGTGAGTATCAATATAAATCCTTCGGGGTAGAAATTGAGAGTTCCCATTTGGCCTTTTCATTTTTCTTTTTGTCTCCGAGTTAATCCTCTCTGCTTGCAATCATTTCTATTTGAGCAGCTGTTTGTTACCTGTGAGGTAGCATATTGAGTTGGAGGTGCACAGTATGGTCAGTGAGGAATAAGCTAAACTGATTTCAAGTTCAGCTTGTTTTAGTGAACAAGTTATAACTCTGGTTAATCCTTCTCCCTCCCTCCCCCCAGAAAATACCCTGTGATTCGGACAGATGATGAACGGGAGCGCTATAAGGCCGTGTTCCAAGACCAGTTTTCAGAGTACAAGGAGCTCTCTGCAGAAGTCCAGGCCGTCTTGAGGAAGTTCGATGAGCTGGATGCAGTGATGAGCAGATTGCCGCATCATTCGGGAAACCAACAGGTCAGTGTCTGCGGCTGCCTGGGAACACCGAGAGTGACGAAAGGATAAATCTGACCTTTCTTGAAATATAGAGAAGTCATAACCACATGCGTCTGCTGTGTATGTCTAGGGAAGTAAGTCACTTGAGGTCGTCAAGGTGACTAGTCAAGGTTACAATTCAAATTATATAATTTAATGTCTTCGGCCTTAAATCATTAAACAGGATTTTATTTTCTCATTTAAGTAAAGTATAAATTGCATATTTTTATATAAAACTTAGAGTAAAGTTAGAAGGAACATTATATTAGCTGCTCTCAAAAGTTGAAAATCTCAACCTCTTACTCACAATATGTGATAACATGAAAAAGAACTTCCCAACAAGGGTGAGAATGATGCTTAATCATAACGAGTGCGATCATTATGTGCCAAGCACCTTACAGGCGTCATTTCACGTAAGGGAAGCTTCTCACAACCCTCAGAGGTACTTACGGTTATTCCTTCCATTTGCCAATAAGAAAACTGAGTCGTAGGGAGGGGAATGAGCTTGCTCAAGGTCACACCGTGGCAGGCAGTGGCACTGGGACTCGCTTCTGGTTTCATGCGGGTGAGGCCTCTCGGTCTGTTCACCCTCAGTGCCTGTCACATAGTAATCCTCACACGTCCGGTGAATTGCATTTTTGTGTATGAATATTGTGATTGCAGTCTTAGGTAAAAATTGTTTTCTGTTCTAACTCCCCAGTGTGCTTTGAGACACATTCTTGAGATAGGTTGTGCATAAATGCAAGTGTTAATTCACAATATACTAAGTATACAATATACTATTTTTAGGAACATGAGAGAATTTCAAGAATCCATGAAGAATTTAAGAAAAAAAAGAAGGTTAGTGAAATTATTTTCTTCAAAGTATATTATCCAGGTACAATGGAGACACCTGACAGATTTTAGATTCTTTTAGCTTTAAAAGTAGGTGTGTTTTTTTATTTCTTATTTTGTTGATTTTTTTTTTTTTTAGAGTGAGAGGAAGGGAGAAAGAGAGAGAAACATCAATGGGTTGCCTCCTGTACCCACCCCAACTGGGGATTGAACCTGCAACCAGGGCATGTGCCCTGACTGGGCAATTGAATTGTCAGCCTTTTCGTGCACAGGACAATGCTCAACCTGCTGAGCCACACAAACAGGGCTGTTTTTCTGTGTTTCTTAAGATCCTACTTGTTAGGGGACCAGGGGTGCCTGCTGGACACCTTTTCTTCTCACCTTTGTTCTGTTCTGATGGCATTCTGTCGTGTCCTGATTTAGCCACCCAGGGAAAGGAGCACTGATACACCACTTGTCACCCACATTTCCTTCCCAAGGCTCCGTTACTTTACATGTTTCTAACTCCATCCTTCACTTGTTTGCACAAATCAGTAGAGGCCAAAGAGAGCTTTCATTAAACATTTCTATAGTTATTATTTACTTTGCATGTATTTTAAACTACTAAAGTTATAGGTACCTCATCTCTTTGAATTTCTCAACTTTGCTGTGAACCTAAAACTATTCTAAAAAATGCAGTTTATTAGAAACCTGTGGAGAGCTTAACTGGTTTTCTTGCTAAGCAGATTTTGAAATCTGCTGCAGGAAAATCTGTTAAGAAGGGTCATTTTCTGGGTGATAATGTATGTTTTTCAGTTCTTTGCTGAGGTAGCACAGGCTACCACATTAACAACTGTGTTTCTTTTCCAGGACCCTACGTTTCTGGAAAAGAAAGAGCGCTGTGATTATCTAAAGAATAAACTTTCTCACATAAAGCAACGAATTCAAGAATATGATAAAGTAATGAATTGGGATGTACAAGGTTATTCTTAAACCTTATCTGAAACCACTTTTTTAATATCAAACTTAATATTTATTTACTGTCATTTTTTATGTTAGTCTCTGTGATATTTGAGAAGCAAG